GGAGTTTCTGAACTGTTATGGCTAAAATCATTGATGGAGGAACTTGGGGTTGAGCATGACAAGCCAATGATGTTGTACTGTGATAATCAGGCCACCATCAACATTGCCCACAACCCAGTGCAACATGATAGAACTAAGCATATTGAAGTTGATAGACACTTTATTTGAGAAATGGTCTCTTCGGGTGAAGTGTGTCTTCCATTCATCACATCTAAAGGACAGTTAGCAGATTTTCTCACCAAGGGCATTCCCAAGGCAAAGCTTCAGCATGACACTGGCAAGCTTGGCATGATCGACATCTATGCTCAGCTTGAGGGGGAGTGTAGAGAAGATGGGCCGAATGGCCCATAGGTTGTTATTCTTTTTTACTGTTTATGTTCCTTTCTGTAATGGGCCTTATTCTGGGCCCATCCTCTTCTATGTTATGTTCTTGTAATTTCTTGCCCAACAAAGGCCCCCCCTTGTAATTATTCAAAACTAACTTAATGAAATAGTGTTGAGGGAGAGTGAAGTTCGAACCTCTCATACTCTAACCCTCTTTGCTGCCATCTCCCTCTTCATCTTCTACTCAATAGAAGCAATCTTCTCTGCAGTTTTTGATTCCTTTTGATTTCTACATCTATCCTAAACAGTCCCACACTCTAAAGGATTGTTTTTCTTCTAGCACAAAACTGAGTATTTTCAAAAAAAAAAAAAAAACAGACTTCTTGATGTCTAGATGGGTAGTTTGGCTCAGATCAGCCAATGTGGAATCAATGACCCTATATGGGTGATTGAACTGTAGGAGCCCAACTTAAAATGATAGGGTGGTGGACTACTTTTCGGCAACTAGAGTTATTAGGCAAGGGGACTCCCTTTCTCCCTTCCTATTTACCTTGATTACTGAAGTTTTGGGGAGGCTAATAAAAAGGGTAGACTCTAGGAGCTTGGTAAGAGGATGGGGAGTAGGAAGGGATAGGGTTCCAGTTACCCATCTATAGTTTGTTGATGATACCATATTGTTCTATGGAGGGGACGAGATTAGGTGGGTTAGTAACTTGAAATTGGTGGTTAATGTGTTTGAACAAATGACAAACCTCAAAGTCAACTTCGATAAGAGTTGTGTTGTTGGCATCAACTTGAGTGATAGAGAGGTAGAAGAAAGGGCACAATTATTGGGTTTTGTGATTGTCCAATGGCCATTGTATTTGGGTCTACTTCTAGGGGACAATCAGAGTGAAAGGAGTTTTTGGAACCTGGTGGTCGATAAATTCACAAAGAGATTAGCCTCGTGGAAAAAGAATTACCTCCCTGGGTGGCTGGATAACACTAATTAAATCAACGTTGGCTAATTTGCCTTTTTATTTCTTGTCGGTCTTTAAGATTCCTGAGGGAGTGTGTATGGATTTGGAGAAATTAATGAGGGATTTGTTATGGGAACCTGGGGAAGAGAAAATGGACCATAGAGTTAGGTGGGAGGTTGTGACAAAAACCAAGAGTGATGGTGGGTTAGGATTGGGTAACCTTCAAAAGAAGAATGTGGCTTTATTGGGTAAATGGTTATGGAGAATGATAGTGGAAAGGGACAAGTTGTGGGATAAAGTAATTTTAAGTATTAACGGGCAAGTGACTAAAGATGGGATGTGGGAGTATCAACTAGGGTCACAAGAGCTTCTCCTTGGAAATCTATTCATGCCATTCTTTTGTCCTTCGTTCCTCTCATCAGGTATGATCTTTGTTCCGGAAATCTTGTGAAATTTTGGGTGGGAAACATATATTTGAAAGAGCAATTCCCTTCTTTGTATTCCCTCTCTAGGTTTAAAAATGAACCTGTTTCCACCTTTTTAGCACATACTAACTTGAACTCTGCTTTGGATTGGATCTTGGGTTTAGGAGGGCGCTTAGAGGTTCTGAACTGGATAGTGTTTCGGATTTGCTTAAAGTCTTGGGTGGGGTGGTTCTTGATCCCTCTAGAAGGGATAGTAGCATATGGATCCCTTCTCCCTTGGGTGTCTTTTCTTGTTCTTCCTTCTTTAGAGAGTTAATTTAACCTTCCTCTATCATTAGGCAACCTTTTGCAGTTTTGGAAGTTTGGGGTAAACCAATTCCTCCAAGAATATGTGCCTTTTGTTGGGAAGCTTTCTTAGAAAGGTGTAACACTTGTGTTTTACTTCAAATAAAAAGGCCTAATTGGTGTTTGTCCCCGCATTGGTGCATCCTATGTAAGGATAGTGGTGAAAGCTGTTGTGACTTACTAATCTCATGCCCTTTTGTTTTTGAGATCTGGAGTTGGTTTCTCTCTCTATTTGATTGCAGTTGGACCCCACCCTCCACCCCTACCAAATGTGCAAACTTTGTTCACTTCCATTTCTGTTAGAGGATCAAAGAGGAAAGGTATAATCCTGTGGAGATGTGTAAGAGCAGCTATTTGTTGGACAGTTTCGGAGGAAAGAAATCAAAGAATTTTCTCTGAAAAAGAAAGAAGTAAAGATGTCATCATTGAAACAGTAAATGGTAGGGTGATTCATTGGGTCAAGACAATAAAGCTCTTTCAGGGGTTTCCAGAAGGAGATATCATTAAGAACTGGAAAAGAAGTGGCATTTTCAGCTTCTATTGAAGTAGTTAGCAGTCCAGTTTGGTTCCCTCCGAATGTGGGATATGATAAACTGAATTTCGATGGTAGCAGTGAAGGAAACCTGGGCTCTTTAGGCATAGGGGTATTCAGGGATGAGGAAGGAAAAATTAGCTTTGTATTCTGGTCCTATTGGTAGTGGGGATTCATTAAGAGCTGAAATCTTGGCTGTCTTGGAAGGGGTAAAAAGAGCATAACAGCTGAATATTTGATGTTGGTCATTGGATGGGTGCAAAGGGAAGAGATTGGGTTTTGGAAATTCTTAAATGGGAAAAAGAAATTTAAGCAGTTGACCCAGGAAAATGGAAGTCAAGTTTTAGTGGATTAAGAGAAGTGCAAATTCATTTGCAGACTCACTTGCCAAGCAAGGGGTGGGAATAGTCAATATTTTTTGAGCAATGTTGTAACATGAATATGAATCTTGGGGAGGGTTGAGAGCATAGTTGTCAAGGCGATGCCTAGGCGCCCACCTAGGCGTGTAGGCACTTTTTGGGTCTCGCCTCGCCTAAATGCCATATGATATATCTATAATATGTTGTAATTTTTTAATATTTAATATTTTTTTATATTTTAAGTCTATAATATAAATATAGACATGATGCACTGAATCATTATTTTTATTTCTTTCAAATTATAATAAATTTTTTATTAATTTCTTATCGTTTTAAGGTTTATGATAGATAAAATATTCGAAGATGAATTTTGAAAGATATAGATATGATATTCAAAGACGAGTTCAAGAGATATCCTTGTCAAGTTCCAAGTTGTATGTATTGTTGTCAAGGCGGCGCCTAGGCGATAAGGCGCCATTGGAGGCTCGCCTCACCCAGTCGCTAAGCAGTTTTGCATACTGTGTAATAAAATACTTTTATATTGTTATTTTTTTTGAGATTATAATTATAAAATAGACATTATTAAAGAAAAATATTCATTTTTTTGTTTATAAACTAATTTCTTTTTATTATTTTCTTATTTGTTAGGGTTTAATCAACACAAACATTGCTAACTTCTGTATTGAACCTTCAATGACTTCAAAATCTGAACCAATAAGTAAGGGAAGAACTTGAAATTTTGTCTAATCAACACATTTCTTCTTCGACATTTTCTTCTTCCACCTTTTCTTTTCTTCTTTTCCTATAACAAAAATAGGGGTTCAGCCCCTATATTTTTTGAATTTTCTTTCCCTTCTTTTTCTTCTCATAAATATGTTGATTTTCTGGAATTAAACATGAAGTTTATAATTTTCTTATGAAAATTATGGATAGTTATTAAAGAAAGTTAGTTGTGGAACCTAGGGAACTACCCTAGGATATGTGATTTTTACTTGAAAAAATCCATCGCCTAGGCGACAAGGCCTTGTCGCCTTGAAAACTATGGCTATATGTCTTTGAAGAAGAAAGGCAAATCGATCACAGAAGGTATGCTTTTTGTTGTTCTTCTTCTAACAAAAAAAGGGGCTCTGCCCCTTCTTCTTCTGTAACAAAAAGCAGAGAGCCCCTTCTTCTTTTTCTTGTTTTGGAACAAAAACAGGGTCTCCGCCCCTTCTTCTTTCCTCCTCCTCTTCTGCTGCTGCTGCTGGAACAAGAAACAGGGGTTCCGCCTCTACTTTTTCTTTTTTTTTTTGGAACAAAAACCGGGCTCCACCCCTTCTTCTTTCCTCCTCCTCCTCCTCTCTTCTTCTTCTTCTTCTGGAACAAAAACTAGGGGTCAGTTTCTTTTGTGGAAGAAAGATAGGGGCTCTGCCCTTCTGGGGTTCATCCCATTTTTATATTATTTTTCTTTTAGACATTAAGTGACGCCTAGGTGCCTGCCTAGGCGATCAGGCGACTAAGCGCTCTCCTGTTGCCTAGGTTCGCCTTGGTGCCTTGAAAACTATGGTTAAGAGATTTCCCCTCCCTCTTTCCTATTGTACTCTCTGCTGTTTTCTGTTATAAAACTTATGTTAATTATCCAAGAAAAACAGGTAAGATCAATGGTGGACCATTCAAACTGTATCCCTGAATGTCAGAGAGTTTGGACACCTTGTATGGCTCAATTGATGGGTTAGATGCAGTCCAAAAATAAAATAATAAAAAAATTCAAGGATGCTAATCTTATGCCAAAAACAAGTTGAAAAAGTCAAGGTTTAATCCCTTTCTAATGTCTCCTTGCCTGAACCCAACGTGAGTTCATTCTTGACTGAAACTGTGACGTTGAACAGTCCAAATAGTCTCAATCTACCATTTAAAAAGCCTTCAACAATCTGTTCTTAATGAGCTCTGGTACCATATTACCCTAGAAAGATCAAAGCTCTCTAGGGTTTCAATCAGCTATCGTTCCGAGAGAGAGAAGTAAAAGGGGTGTTTCTTCATATCATCCATGTTTTAATTTTGTTATTTCTAATTTCAGATTGGATGATATGAAGGATCAGTTGAGAAAGCGAATGTTCAAGAAACGAAAAGTTAGAAGAATCACATTTTCAGTTGCTGATAGCATATCTATTGAACTGAATACCTTTGCTTTGATTCGTCCAACTCTTCCAGGTAGATATATCTCCATTTTTTCTTCTTTTCTTTATTTTGTTTGTATGTGTATGTTTTTCTCATAGAAGGCCATGTAATCATGTTTTTCTGTCTAAATCATTTCATTCATATCTATTATCTCAATTAATTTATTTATTTGCTTTTGCAGGGGCTATAACATGGCTTGATTCTATTACCAATGTCCCTTTGGAGGTGAAACTATTGGCCTATCTCTTCCCCCGTCCTATCAAAAACAAAAAAAAAAAAGAGAAAGACAAAAAGTAAAACACAAATATATACATTTAATGGTCAGATCAGATGCTTGATTACTGTTTTCAACCAAGAAACAAAATTATATTACTACCATATTATATGCTAGTTTGGTTTGGGTAGGCTACTCTAGTAACACTGTTGGTTGGGCTTCCTATACAAGGGGTCACAAAGTATAGGCAAATGTATTAAGAGAAATTTGGGTGTTAGAATGTTGGATATGCACATCTTTCTCCTTGATTGCCAGGATGGATCTCATCTTGTCCAATTGACTAGCTAGAAAGTGGGGTTACTAGGGCTAAGATTTACTCTGTTTACATCACAGTTGTCAAGCCGTCTAGGTGATTCTGGGCAATAGTGGGGCGCCAAGTCACCTAGTCACCTAGGCAGGATGTGGAACACTACCTCTATTGAGAATATTTGACCTGATCACTTAAAATTCAGGTCTAAGATGCATAAGAAAATGCATGACCTTCCTGTTATCTAAGTGTTTCTCTATAAACTTAATGAGCAGATTGGTTATGACCCAGATGCACTAGTTCATATTCTGTCCACTGGTTGACAAAGCCCATATGGTATTCTTCAATTCTTTGCTCCTCCTGGTTGTATAAGAAAATGCCAGTTTCAATTTGATACTGCCTTGATACGTTTGATTGTTGATACACTTTATCGAGATATTGAAACATCTCTTCTGCTGTCCTCAATCCTGTCATAGGTATAGAAATGTCTGTATCCATAGTGCTTAGTATCCAGGATGCTAGTTTAGCATTCTCAATCTTCCATTACTGCGGATCTTTAGCATTGGAACGCGGAGTATGGTGATCATTTTCAGCCCAGCCTGGAAATTCTGGGCTTGGGCCTAGGTTTTTGGTTCGGGCCCAGCCCGGGCCTGGGCCTGGGCCTAATACTTCAAGCACAGTCTAAGCCAGGCCCAACCCGCGTTAATTGTATGTATTTTATATATGTAAATATGTTATTTTATATTACATTGTAATATTTTATATATAAACATTATAATCGGATACTTACAATATATATTTTATACAATATGTAATATTACATAATATATAAAATAAATTTTGTGGGCCTATTATATGTCATATAATATAAAATATTATGCATATGTAGTATTTTATACATAAAAGACCTAGACCTGGAATCAGGCGCAGCTCGGCCTGGGCCCGGGCTTATGTTTCAGGCCCAGAATGGCAGAACCTTGGCTGGGCCAAGCTCAAGTCCAAACTATAGCCCTTATCATATGTGCATAGTTGCTTCCATCAAATCTGTTTGGCAAAATGTCTCCCTTTTCAGGTGTCGTTTCAGTCACTTATCAGGTCTCAAGAGTAAAGTGATGCCTCCAATTATAACAGTAGAAGAAACTAGGGAAAAAGGCAATTAAGTCCCAATAGAAAGCAATGTTTTAAATTGCGGATGCATGACGGGAGGCATTTTGCTTGATGGGTGAGGTGTAGTTCAGAATGTAAGAGGCATAAACCTCCTGAGCACAAGGAGGTTTAAGCCTCCTTAAGATGAGGGGGATGAGGAGGAGGAAGAAGAGGAAAGAGGATGCCTTTTTTTTTTATGAAAGATGCTATGAATTAAGAAAAATGAAGATGCATAACACTAGTTGATAGAGGGGGTCTTGTCGAATGAAGTGTACACCTTTCCTTTCCGTTTCTTTCTTTTGTCATTTTTTTCTTCTCTTTCTTTCCCTTCCCTTCCTCTCCTTTCTTTCCTTTTATTTTTCTTTCTTTAAACCTTTTTTGTATGAGGCGTGCATGAAGTGCATGATGCGTATGCCTCTAGCATGCCTCATGCAAAAGGCGCATGAGGCATGTGCCTATGGGCTTAACTCATACACCTCAGGGGTATCAGCACCTCTGGCATGCCCCTCAGGGTGTTTTTGAAAGTGCCTCACCTTGAGGTACACTTCCAGGCATATGTCTCCCACACCTTTGAAAACACTGATAGAAAGAAGAGGCATAGATGATTCAGACTTTATGATCCTGGGTGTATTAAGCCTCATGAAGGAGAAGAAAAGACCATACAAGTGAAACCTGAACCACGGTTTCAGAGCATAGGGGTGCTGAAAGAACGAACAGAAAAAGTGCTTCAATCTACAAAATCTCGGAAAAAATGGTTCTGAAAACTCCTTTGGTACACCTTGACTGATAGCTATTCAGTGGGGATTCCAATCTTTCCTCATTCTCAATTTAGAAACCTGCTCTGATAGCATGCAATGAACAAGTCGAACAGGTGCTAGGGTTTGTACAGGTGTGTCTAAGTGATGATCTCTCTCAGAGAATGAAATATATATACTAATGAATGTAAAAAAGACAGTTCTGTAGCTGACCCCATATAGTTGGGATAAGGCATAGATGATGAAAAATGCAGTTCTGTCATTACAAATAAAGACTATAAGAGCATGTAGAAAAATGATCAAGTACATAAGACATATGGTACACCAATACTCCCCAAGGATAATAAACAAGATTAACCCTTAGTTTCTCTACAATAACAGCATAAAGGAACATCAGAAGGGGACTCTGTCCCTGAAAAGAATGGTACTATCTCAAGGAAAGTAATATGTAGGTAAATGGAAGATTTATGTAAAGTAGGACTGTAGCATTTATTACCTTTTTGAGTTTGAGAATAGTCAAGATAAATGCATTTTAGAGGCCTTGCATCAATCTTACCTGATTTATTAACAAATTTGTGCACAGAAAAAAAAAACTAAACCCGAGGAGGAATCCTAAAAGGAGAAAATGAAAGAAACAAAATGGAAAAAGGAGATTTCTGACAAAGAGTGGAGGATGGCATACAAATGATCAAAAAACATGAGGTAGGAACTACATCATTCAAAAAAGTTTAGGGAGAGACAATTGAACCAATAAGGCCTTTGTGGTGTTAAGGAGATGATTCTTCCTTTAGGCCACACCGATTTGTTGTGGTGTGTATGAGCAAGAAAATTAATGGATTCTTCCATGACTATGAAAATAAGGTTGAAATTATTTATGAATGTAATATTGAGCGTTGTCAAATCTAAACACTTTAATTAAGACTTTAAATTAATTTTGAATTTCAGCATTAAAGGGCAGAACTATAGAAAATAACTCAGAACATTCTTTCATTGTATAAATTGATATTGCCTTGAATAATTATTAGTGAAAGTTATAAATACTACCATTTATCAAAAAAAGGTTATAAATACTACCCATTATAAGAAGTGACACGTTTTTGACTCTAGGCATCTGAATAAACAAGAACAAAAGACCTACTGTCTCTATTATCCACTGTTGGAATAAAGGACACTCTATGATGTTTGCTTAATTAATATGACTCACAATCCAACATTGTTAACAATGGGACTAACTGCTTCAACGAACCAACACCTTCTATGAACTAAATGCTCACAATTTTATATGTGGACTGTAAAGCCTTCTACGAACCAACACCATCAAGATAGTACAATTCCTCTTGTTGCATGCCGTTCAACAATCATCCTCCCTGTTTTAAGATCCTGAAAAACACAAAAGGAAGGATAGAATGAGCTAGAGCAATCAAGACTTTTAATCAATTCACTTGCAGGCATATGGCTAAATGGGAACTTAGGAATAAAACTATGAGAAAATACACCTAGATATAAGAGATACATTCCCAATACTTATCAAAGATGTTGTTGATTGGCTAGGGTAATAGTCTATGAAGTGGAAGGAAAGATACATAAGCAAAGATATCTAGATATAGAATCTGTAACTGAAGAATTGGATTTGGAATGAGAAGGAACACAAGTTATACTTATTTTGGCAAGGGTGTTTGTGTTACTTAAAGAGGAAAATTGACGAAGTTTCTTATACTATTGAGTAATAGACACCTTTTCTTTTACCTTCCACACCAAGATCATTTGTAGGGGTGACATGACTACTGGATGGGTTCTCACCAACTGGTTCATGATTAGCCCATGTAGATGGTGATTCATTCAAGTTGTAGCAAAAGTTCATTTTATGTCCTTTGAGCCTATAGTAAGCATACACATGTGGGGATCCACGTCCACTACCACTTCTACCAACGAGAACTTCCTACTTCTCTATGACCATGTCCCAAACCTACTACCTGAGGAATACCACGTCTACTCCTTGATCCACAACTTGCATCTCTTGCATTCCCACTTCTACCACGTTGTCCTTTACCACCTCCTAACATGAGAAAACACCTCAGAAAGTGAGTGGAGATCACTATTCCCTAAAATTTGACCATGAAGTGGCTCATATTAGTTCTTAAATCAGATAAGAATCGAGCAATGTCTAGGTGCTCCTGATATTGTTGCTGAACCTTCAAATCGATAGATAAAGGCTGATAGTCACTCAAGAACCAGCTAATTCCTTAGGTTTTGGAGGGTGAACAAATACTCTTAAACACTTTTTTTGGCTTGCTGAAGAGAAAGTAATCTTGATGCAATTGCAAAATCTTTAAAGAAGAAAGTATTTTCTGAACTTTCTTTTATTTCTTCTTTTCTTCTTGTGGATTTGTTGAGTTTCGATGTTTTCATGTGAAGTTTAGTCATTTTATGAAGATTATAGATAATTATTAATGAAAGATGGTTGGTGGTTGCTCTGGAACCTAGGGAATTACATTAGAATTCATGGTTTTCATTTAAAAATATCTATTCCCTAGGTACACCCAAGTTAATAGGTGCAGTCACAATGAGATACCTCTTGGTCTCTAATAAGTGTACCTTGATTTACAATCCTATTTTTTATTATTCTTACATTGCGTATATTTTGTTGTAATCCTACTTATTTTGAAGCCTAAATCTTTTTTTTTGAAGAATAAAAGAAAAATTTATTGATAAAATAAAAAGCAGATTACTGCACTAACAAGGGTGTTAAGTTAACACCCAAACGCACTACCAACAACAGGCTTACAATGACACAAGATAATTCCCCCCCACCTTGATACATTGGCTAGTCTTCAGGATCAAACGACTCGTCCTGCCTGTTGTCTTCCTCATCCTGAACTTTTTCTTCTTTCTCTTGCAACATCTTCTTCAGTTTCTCTTCCCTTTTTCTCATTTCAAATTTTTCAAAAGCTCTTCTAGCGAACTCTTTGCCTCCCCAAAATAATATCCCTAAACTCTTTCCAATTCTAACCTCCCTGTCCACCAAGGTTTTAGTCTCCACTTTCTCCCCCTCCTTGTCAGCTTGTTGAGACAAAGTATGCACCAGCTTGACCTCCCTCTTCTTTCTTATCCCCTGACCCTGGTCTAACCTTCGATCCTTCTTTTGTCAGGGTCGACTTTATCTCCCCTACGACAATTTGAATCTCTTCCCCCTCCTTTCATCACCCTTTTTCTTTGCATCTAAGCCTTTTAATCACTTCCTTCAATACACTTATGTTTATTGGAAGGACCTGCCCCAATCAAACCGTCTTTTAGCCTCGAGAAAACCTTAGACACACGGACAAGGTGACACTTGCTTGTCTCTCCAGCTTTTTTCGCTCCTTCTATAGGTCCTACGACACCTTCCTTGTTCACAACTCTTCTCTGCCCTAGATGTACTCCAATCCTACCAGCTGAAATCTCAAACTTCTGATAATCCTCACAGTCCAGAGATGAGTCAGTTTTGTTGTTCTTGTCCAAAGCCTCTGTTGTAACCATCGCCGTGTTCAGTAGTTGCACTCTTAGTGTCGTCCCCGCCACAGCCAGCCCTACCTAACATTCCTTCCTTGTCCTTCCCTTCCCACCTCACTAACTCCTTAGCTACTTCCCCAGAAACAACCTCCCTTCCTTCTAGCCTTCTGAACCTTCTGAACAAATAACCACTTGAACCTCCTCCTCCTGATTCCATGTCGGTGACAAAAAGGAAGAGAGCTCGACAACGAAGTTACCAAAAGAGATAAACTTACCTGCTTGCTGATTAGGACTTGTCTTCTCCTTTTTTCCTTTCATTGCAGTGTTCTCTTAGATTAAGAGGTTCAACGAATCGTCCACATTGATCACTCTTCTGAAACACTTCATGAGAAATCTCAGCTCTCAGACTCCAAAGCCTCTTACTAGAGTTTCGAAACTGAAATGTGCACCTAAAACTTCGAGACCGCTTGAACTTTCTCTTGTTCGAAACCCTTAATTTGAAACGATGCTTTGTAGAGAACTCTCCCACATTATTGATGAACTTTGTCTTCGTAACTTGGTCCACAATCGAACCTTCACCATCTTTTCCTGCTTGTGCTGTCTCTTCGTCTTTTGAAATTCCAACTTTTTTCTTTCCTTTCGTCTCTTTCTACTTTCACGTGTCCCAACGGATTCACCTCACCATCTAAGTTTGAATGGGCCCTGCCACTTTTATTTCTCTTTGGAACTCTACTTTCTCTGTCCATGATGCGGCCCAAGGTAAAGACCCCAACCAAACCATAAATATTTTTGCTTCCTAAAATACCCACCTTCAACCTCACGACCATCCCCTTTGGTCTGACTATTCGTCTTCCCCTCCATTATTTCCAAAACCCAATCTGATCTTCTGGGTCTCTTCTCTCCACAATTCCATATTTTTGGTCCATCTTGTTGGGTAAGATCCTTCTACGACCAGTTCAAGTAAAAAAAGATTCACTGGTGAAACGGAGGGATAGGGAAGTAGGAACAAGGTGGATCTCTTCAACTTTAATTAAGATACAAGCAACAGAAAGGTTTCTACATGATATTGTTCTAGGATCAACGAATCTGAATCTTCCACATGCGCCTCCCATTATCTTAAAAGTTTGGAAGCTCCACGCATGCAAGGGTATCCCGTAAACAATAATCCACCATATTCAGTGGACCCATATTCCTGATTGCTCCGACTAAAGGATTCCATCTGATTCTGAGATCAGGTTCTCGAAACTTATTCTGTTCACTCATCAGGGTGTTGCTTGCCTCCTCACTTTTGAAGATGAACAAAATGAAACCAGCATTTAGCTTCCTTATGTGAAAAGGTTTCTCAGGTTTCCACTCAGTAGTGGCCCACTCTTCAATCTTCTCCACATCTGGGTTGGAATTTATGAAACGACCGGCCAAACTATGACTCAGCAGCCTGAGTCGATCTCTAATTTTGCGTTAATCCCTCTTTGGATTCATCAATTAATACTATATCATTGGGGAATAGTATTCACCATGGTGCCTCTTTATGAATATGCTTCTTGCCAATTTCTCCATGACTAGAGCAAATAAATCAACACTAGTTAGAAGAAGCGACTTGTTACAAGTTGAAGGGGTTAAAAGGGATAGGGGTAGACCAAAAAGGACATGGGTAATAGTAAAAATGATTTTAGCACTAATAATTTAACAGTGGATATGGATTTAAATAGAACGAATTGGTGAAATAGGATTAATGTAGCTGACCCCATATAGTTGTGATAAGGCATGAAAGATGATGATGATGATGAGAGCAAATAAATAAGGGCCAGGGCTGAGCCTTGCTGAAGTCACTGTAACTAGAAACACGAATGCCTTTCCTAAAGGTGTTTAGCATTGTTTGTTACATTGTCATATATGCCTTTAAAGTCTATATACCTATTTCGCATTCCTCTTTTTCTTCTAAAATCGGCCATAGTATTTTTGTAGGAGCTTTGTCATATTATTTTTTTCTTTAAATCAATGAATACTATATGAAGATTTCTCTTCTTTTTAAACTTTTTTATTAATTGTCTAAATAGAACGGTGTGGTTGAACTCCCTGGCAAAAAACCAAATTGGGTTTTTGATATATTTATTTTATGTTGTAATATCTACTGAACTAATCTCTCCCAAAGTTTAATATTATGGTTTCTAAGTTTAATCCCATTATAGTTATTAAAACTCTATATACTGTCTTTGTTTTTAAATATAGGAAACATATTGCTCTTTTTCCATTCTTTTGGCATTTTTCTTTGTTATATTTTTGTTATTAAATAGTTTAATTAGTCATAACAAGCTTACTTCTCCCATATATTTCCAACTTCTATTAGGATACAATCAGGTCCTTGCACCTTTCCTTTCTTTATCTCAATCAATGCCTTCTTTGCTTCAAAAGCCCCTATTTTACAAAGGTGATTATTAACTTTAGTAATATTGAAGTTACAAATCACCCCCACCCCCACTAGTACCTACTATGTGTCCTTCATTTAGTAACTTACAAAATAACTTTTCCATCTTTTCTTGACTTCTAACAATTTGGTTGACTACTAATCCTATTTAATGTTGGTTTTGGATGTTTAAGTACATGTTTTTTGTTATATTTGTTGATATTTTGCAGATTCAAAACTCTTTTATCTGTGCGGACACTGGTGCTTTACTCCAAGGACACACTAAACGTTTTCATCCATATAAGAAGTATGTTTTGTTTCCATTTTTCTTCTATTTTTTAAATACAATGCTCTATATAGTGCTTAATATGTTTTTTTTCTTATTGAGTGTAGGCATGTTTCTTCAACTCATTTGTCTATTTTTTTCTCACTTTATTTCAGTAAGAACATTAAATTTTCTGTGGAGGAGCTATTAGAAGTAAAAAGAGTTTCTACGGGACATCTTCGTCTTCTGGGATTCAAGCCATTGAGTTGCTTAAAAGATTATTATAACTTGAAGCCATCAACATTTCTTTTTCCTAGTGATAAGGTGGGTAAGTTTTATACAAGTTGCAGGCATTGAAGTTCAATGTAGTAGTCCATGCTAAGTAATTAGTGGCTTGAAAAACATTCTTTGTGGTCTGCTCTTTATTCTTCTACAATACATTCTATTACTAATTATGTTCATGATTCAAAGTATCGATACACCTTTGTGTATCGGTAGAGGTGTATTGACACTTTGAACCACATGCCTTTTTTAGTTTTTTTTATCAATTCAGTTTTAAGACTATGTATATATATCATTTAATAAAAAAGGGTTCCAAAATAGGTGTATATGGCACCTAAAGATATAATATGGTATCCCTGATATGTGGAATATCATATTGATACTTTGAACCTTGATTGTGCTAAAGAATGTGCTTGATATCTAAGAACCTTGATTCCATTTGTTCTTAACTCTTTAGTAAATCTATGCAATTGAAAACCTATAGGTAGCTGCTCCTTTTAATAAACTTAGTTAAAATGGATAAGACTATGTCCTTCTTGGCTAAGATTAGAAATCAGTTTGATACTAGTATTGGGGTTTTCAGTTCAGACTTGGGGGGGGGGTGAATACTTCGATGGAGACTTTGAAACTCTTGAGAGACATTGGAATTCAATCACAGAGATCTTGTCTTGGCACTCTACAACAGAACATAGTGTTAGAGCGCAAGAATATATAGATTTTAAGAATTGTATGCACCTTGCTTCCTGATTCACATGCTCCTTCCTTTTGGGTGGAGGTGGCTAGCACTGTTGTGTACCTTATCAACCTTCCTTCTTTTGTTTTGTGCAATGCTTCTCCCTTTTAGAGCTTATTCCATCGTTCACTTGACTTCTCTATACTTCATGTTTTTGGTTGTGTGTGCTTTGTTCATCTTCCACCTCATGAGCGTACAAAACTCACTCCACAGTCAACATTGTGTGTCTTTGTTGGATATAGCCTGGACCGTAGGGGTTTTCTTTGTTATGATCCTAGTTCTCATCGAATTTGTGTCTCACAATATTATTTTCCTTGAAAATATTTCTCTCTTCGCTCACATTGTTAAACTTCTTGCTACTTCAGTTTTTGTGCTACATTCCTTTGACTCCATAGGTTCTTCGAATGCAACTCCTTCCAAAATTGCTTTGTGTCTTCCTCAGGAAGAGGCTAGCCGTTTTAGCACCTATAGCTCTACCCCCTTCATCACCAAACACAGGTTCATCATCTACAGACACCAGTTCCTCCCTTCCTCCTCACTTTGTAAGTACACCTACACCTATCATTGATCCTCCACCATCCTCTAATCCCCCATTATGCCATTCTTATATTTCTCTGTCTTTCTTGATTGCTATGGGTTTTGTTTAAGCTATAGATCTTTTTTAATTGTTTTGTCCACTACATATATTTCTAGATCTCACTACTAGGTTATGGCAGTTTTGCATTGGAAGGAAGCCATGGATACTGAGCTCCAAGTCCTTGTTGATAATGACATGGGATATGGTTCTTGCTCCCCAGTTGCCTCTTTTATTGGTAGAAGATAGGTGTATTATGTGAAACTTAATTCTAATGGGAGCCTTGACAAATATAATGCTCGTTTGGTGTCACTAGGGTACAAATATAATGCCCGTCGCTAAGATGACTACAGTTCGCCTTCTTTTGGCCATCTTTGCATCCATACATTGAGACATCCGTTAGATAGATGTCAAGAATGCCTTCTTACATGGGGACTTTAAGGAGACAATCTATATGAAGCCCCCTCTGGGATACTATGATGGTTCTCCCATGGTATGCCATTTGAAGAAGTCCTTGTATGGTCTTAAACAATCGCCAGGGCATGGTTTGAGAAATTTCGCATAGTGATCATAGAGGCTGGATTCATCTACAGTTCTTCTAATTATTACCTATTTATTTGAGAAGAACCCAATGAATTACTTTGTTGCTTCTGTATGTAGATGACATCCTTATCATCGATGATGATAGTGATGGTATTTCTTCTTTGAAACAGCTTCTCAATCAGCCATTTAAAATGAAGAATCTTGGTTATCTTACCTATTTCTTGGGGTTGGAAGTTACTCATTCATTTTGTGAGTATTTTGTTAATCAACACAAATATGCCCTTGACCTTGTGAAATCTACTAATTAGAGTGATGACAAACATGTTGATACTCTTCTTGAGATGAATTTAAAGCTCTCTAAGGATGATGTGGAAATTTGTTGATGCCACTTTTTACCAACAGCTTGGTGGTAGTCTTATACTCTTATCTACCTCGCATGACATGCCCAGATATTTCCTGTGCTGTATAAGTGGTTAGACAATTTATCTCTTCCCCTCAACAACCTCAAATGATTATAGTTCTTTGTATTATCAAATATGTTTGTGGAACCCTATCACATGCTTATTCTTTCCTACATCCACATCTCTTAGCCTATCGGCCTATGCAGTTATTGATTGGGGCCATTGGGCAGGATGTCCAAACACTGGACGTTCTACTACTGGTTGGTGTATTTTTCTTAGAGATTCCTTCATATCTTGGAAATATAAGAATTAGTAAGCTCTCTCGAAATCTTCTACAGAGGTTGCGTATAGTGCTATGTCCTTCATTTGTACAGAGATAATATGGCTCAAGGCTCTCTCCTTGATGACCTTGGTTTTCCATTGTCATCTCCAATTCCTCTTTGTGCAAACAATGTCAGTGCCATCAAGATTGCCTCTAAAGTCCAACCTTGTTTTTATGAGAGAACCAAGCATATAGAGGTTGTTGCCACTTTATTAGTGTTGAGTTGGGCCTAGTTGTTTTTTATTCTTATTTTAAGCTATTTAGTTAGGAAGTTGTTGGGCTTTAGGCCCATTAGTTTATGTTTTTAAGTTGTGACTGTTCAGCTACATTAGTAGCCGCACTACTAAGGACATCCTTGTAATATCTCATCCTTTAAGTTAAGTATAAATATAATGAGGGGTTGGTGGCTAGGGTTAATTCAAGAATCCTGGTTGACTTTCTACTCTTTTCTCCCTCTCTTTTCTTCTCTACTACTGAAATCTTTATCTTCCTCCCCTTTTCCTTTCACAAGAAATTCAACTAAATCTACAATCGGTGATTTCTACTTGGTATCAGAGCAGGCTGAAGGTTCCTTGAGTTGTTTCCTCATGCAGCCCTAGATCGACCGACTGCATGGTGATTTAAGAGGTTGATCAAAGTTCTCAGGTAAGCCCAGTTTTTGGATTTTTTGGTGGATCTGTGTGCCCTGTAGCTAGTCTAGGGTTTTTCATCAAAATCAGGAAAAATTGGAGAAAGGGGAAGAGTCCTGTTTTTGTTGGACTCTTCAATTTTGACCTAGGAAGTGGCACCCTAATTTTTTAGGGTTCCTTGGAGTTTTCTGTAAGGGGCGGTTCAAGTCCTACCTGATTTGGAGGCTTCTAGAGAGAGCAACTGCCTTTTCTCTCTCTTCTCCCATCCTATAGAAAAGGAATCTTTTGTGGGAAGATAGCCTAGGACACCAGAAAGGTGTTGTTGGTTCCAGAAGTGTTTCGTTTGATCTTGTTACATATTTCAGTTATTTTCTTAACATTTTTTGAGAAGCATGGAGGGTTACGGAGTTGAAAATAAGCCCGGTAGTGAAATGAGACTAGTGTGAGGAGGTGCTAGAGACCTTTTCGGGACTGGGACCATCACTACAGTTAGGTTGGGTGGTACAAATTACTTAGAATGGTCACAATCTACAAAGATGACCATTGGTGCTCGTGGGAAATTAGGGTATATCACTGGTGAGGAAGTGAAACCCGAAACGAGCAACTCCTGGTGGGTACAGGAGAATTATATGGTGATGACTTGGTTGTGTAATTCTATGTTGCCCCATATAGGTAAAAATTTTTTATGGGCAAAGACAACTAAGGAAATATGGGATGGGGTTGTAGAAACCTATTCACAGAGGGAGAATGTTGCTAGGGTTTATCAGTTGAGAAATTAGATTATTTCTACAAGGCAGGGAGATAGACCTGTTGCAGCCTATTTTTCAGYCMTTAWAACCYTRTGGCAGGRGATTGACCATTTAGAGACATTTGCTTGGGAAACCACTAAGGATGCAACTACCTATCAGAAACATCTAGAGAAGTATAGGGTGTTTGAATTTCTTGTTGGCCTTAATCCTGAATATGATATTGCAAGACAACATCTTCTTTCCAGGGACAGTGTTACCCTCTCCCAAGCATATGCCTTTGTGTCAGGGGAGGAGAGCAGGAGAGATATGATGAAAAATCCTGTTTCTGATCAGTCTGCCATGGTGAGTACTGTGAAACCTAAGCAAAGTGGAGATCGGGGTGGCAAGTGAAATCAAGAAGGAAGATAAAAGAGATTTGATTTGTGACTATTGTAAGAAGCCTAAACACACGAGAGATACTTGCTGGAAGGTTCATCCACATCTTGTGCCGACTGGACTACAAAATAAGAAGGGAAGTGCAAACATGGTAGTTACTGGTGACATTCTGGCCCCTCCTACTACAACTGCTCTGGAGCTTGTTGTAGCTGCTGCAATAAGGGTCGAACTTGAGAGGTATGGGCAATTTTTGAACCAGTGGGATAAAGCCAGTTCCAGTTCAGCAGCAAGTGGACAACAAGGTACAAGTGGCACTGGTGGAGTCCACTCTACTGCCTTTGCTCACACAGGTAGTTCACACGTCACTGCAAATTATGTTTCTACTTCAGGTAAGGAGGGACCTCCTTGGATTATAGATTTTGGAGCCTCAGAGCACATGATCCATAGCTCTACTATTTTTTCTTCTTACCAGCTTTGTTCTGGCAGAGATAGGGTCTCCATAGCTGATGAATCCCATATTCCTATTTCTGGGAAGGGATCTGTCAAGATAAGTGATTCTATTTCTCTACCCTCAGTCCTTCATGTTCCTAGATTGAGCACTAATTTGTTATCTGTTAGTAGTTTGATTAAGAACCTGAACTGCTCAGTAATTTTTTCTCCTAGTCATTGTATTTTCCAGGATCTGGATTCAAAGAGGACGATTGGGAGTGGTCGTG